AGAAAAAAGGGAAAGACAAAGACTTTGGAGTGAAGGAATTCCATCCATACTTGTATAAACTATGTATTAAACTCATTTGTTCATTGGACATAAGCGGCATATCATGTTGGCCATACTGATTTGTCATACTACTTTCTTTTCTTCGTGCTTTTTTTTTTTTTTTTTTTTTTTTTGAAATGAAGGTAGGTTTATTGCATAGCAAAGCTTCAACAGATATACTTATATACATTCATCAGGATCCGAATCAAGGTTTTGCTGAATTTAGATACACCGTAGCTCTAAGTTCGATCTTGAAATATGATCCTTCTTGTTTCTCAACCAAGAAAACTCCGTTTATGATGACTGTGCCTGTTCCAGAACGATAAATTAAATCATAAAGTGAAGAACACTAAAATCAGAAAATTAGGATACCAGATCAACCACATACCACAAAGCAGCTAATCAGACCATCAAAGACTACTAATTAACATGAGATTGCAGTGAATGTTAAGATAGATTACAGCATTAAGATAGTAATGTAAGCATGCTTTAGCAGCAGGTGCAAAGCGATTGTTGGCATTTTTTTTTTTACTTTGTATCGGTTTGAAAGATTATACACTGCGCTGAAGTCCAAATGCATGAAAAATGCATTGATTGTTGGTGATGGAGAGATGTCTTTCGGCTCCCTATTGTGTTTTTCACATAAACAAATTAAATCACAAGACGCGCCTTTAGAGTTGCTCTGATTGAAGTACAAATTTGTGTCTCGTTGTTCATAAAACGCAAAAGCGTCATATGAACATACATGGCTTGAATTGTGATTGAGGTTATCTCATACCTAACACAGCATGATCTCTTCTTCAGTTCTTGTACTTCAAGGTTTCTTTCTCAAACCCAATTGTAGGAAATTGCTTAGCATACTCCTCAACATCGTGGCGGAGCTTTGCAGTCTCAGATTGGAAGTGAGGGGCAGAAAGTGCGGCCACGAAGTCCTTCAACTTCGTTCCTGGTATACAGAAATGAACGAAATGCAATTCCATGTGAGTCGATGCAAGCACTACGATCACTCCACTTGTATATGGAAGGCAACTAGACAAACAAAAACTTGGTGAGCATGGAATTTATGATATCAAAGATTATTAGGAACCTTTGGCTTCCCCCTTGATCTTCAATGCCAAATTCACAGCAGCATCAAAAAAGTCTGCAACCTTGGCGAAATCCTCCTCAACAAATCCCCTAGAAGTAAGAGCTGGGGTTCCTGAAGTTGCAAAAGAATTACCAAGTAAGGTTACGGAAAATCCAAGGAAAAAAAGAGCAACTAAAATGATGAGAAAGCTTTACCCATCCTGATGCCACCAGGAACCATAGCAGACACATCTCCAGGAACAGTGTTTTTGTTGGCTGCAATGTGAACAGCCTCCAACACCTTTTCGACCCTGGAACCGTCAATTCCCTGAAAAATGAGATTCAAGAAATATAAAGCTATATCAGTACATAATTTGTAACAGAGAATCTACATAACGCTATAAGCTTCTCGGTTAAGTATTACAAAAAAGCAAAACCGTCTATTACCTTGTTCTTCAAATTGACCAAAACTAAATGGTTCTCGGTTCCGCCAGAAACAAGTTCATATCCTTTCTGAGCCAAAGACTGCAAATTTTGCCAATTTTTCTATTATACAAATGTACTAGAAAGAGAAAATCATCAGCGAAATTCTAATATGTGAATAAAAGGATACGTCTAAAGTTATTCGTAATTAAGTATAAATGAATGTACAGGTGTAAGATCTTATCTCAGTAACAAAGATTCATGCATCTGATAATCTGATACCTGGGCAAATCTTGAGCAATTGGTGAGAACTTGCTCCTGATAGGCTTTGTACTCTGGAGTAGTAGCCTACATTAAAAGAAGATTCGGACAAGATGAACAATAAGATTTCAACATAATATGAACTGGAGGGAAGGAGAGTGATTGTGCAGAGCATTTAACTTAATCGGCACGTATACCTGTTTCAAGGCAACTGCCAAACCAGTAATTGTGTGGTTGTGTGGGCCACCTTGAAGTCCAGGAAAGACAGCTTGATTGATTTTGTCTTCGTAGTCGTACAACACCTTGGGGAAAGTATAGACATTGGGCCAGTTTGAAGAATGAATACATCAAATAAACGAAAAATGATTACGAGTAAAATGCAGCTTACAGGGTAAATATACTTAAAGTTTTTGAACTGTGATCTTTGGAAACTCACCTCTTGCCCTTGTTTGTTAGTCTCTTTTACCCCCTTTCTAAAAAAAATCATGGCTCCACGAGGGCCACGCAGTGACTTGTGCGTTGTGGTGGTCACTACATCTGCATAGTCGAAAGGTGATGGAATAACACCAGCTGCAACCAACCCACTGATGTGTGCCATGTCTGCCAACAATATTGCTTTCTGTTTGTTGCATACCTGTCAAGTACTTGAAATGTAAATCTTGGACTTCTCCACCATCACATTATAATTTTAGTACGAGGGCTTTTATTTTGAGATTTTCTACTATGATTATACAAATCCAAACAAGTTTACCTTACGAATGCGGTCATAATCATACAGACGTGCATAAGCACTAGCACCAGCAACTATTAATTTTGGCCGGTATAGCGTGGCACTTTTCTCCAACTGAACATCATAGTTATTCATGTCAAATGAAGCTTATACATTCACAGGTAGAAAAAAATTAAAAACACAGTTTATATAATATGACAAGCGAGACTAAATAGAATAAGATAGAATTCGTCTAGTAAACTTCAGTTAAAATGTTGCGGTTTAATTCATCCATCACTGCCCTGATTTAAAAGATGACTTTCACTATTCCTAAAGGTGAACTAGTAGGTTTGATTTGCGATGGTTATTTGGCCTTAAATGTTCTTCACGAATTCCTCTGTTGTGTCAAGGTCTAAAGAGGGAACATCCATAAATCATGGCATTTTTAACAAGTAATTTCCTGCACCTATGCACTGCAACAACGAAAAAGAGTTGTACTGCAAGAATCACTAGAACAATAAAATTTCTAAGCTACCTGGGCGTAGTCAATATAGCCGGTGCTCTCATTCAGTCTGTATGGCATGGTTTCGAAAAATATTGACACAGCAGATATCTTTTTAGTGTCAGTCTGCACAGTACCAAAACAAGAAGTAATGTAATCGCTATCAAACATTGAAACAACACAAATTAAAATTTATAAACAGTGTGAGTTTCAAATTTCTTCAAAGTTAATAGATGTTATAAGTTTTGAGGCCAATGTTACAACAAGGTATGGAATTGTTCGTGCCCACACTTCAGAGGAAATATTGAGCACACCCTTGGGCTTAAAATCAAGACAGATGAACAATGATCATAAATCGATATTAGACATTTCATCACACCAGTCACCGCTTAATGGAAGTTGTAAGCACCTGATAACCGTGAGAAAGATGACCACCATGAGGAAGATCAAGTGCCATGATTCTGTCATGAGGTTTTAACAACGCAGTGTAAACCTGGAAATTAGCTGGAGATCCTGATAAAGGCTGCACGTTCACTGCAATGTAAAGAAATGACATCATGTAAAAGAAAGCTTTGTTTAAAACACAACTATTCAAGGTTTTGATTGACTTAAATTCATATTGTAGCTGTTTGACAACTGAATACATGGTTCCAGTGAGTGTTGAGAACTTGAGATGCATAGTTCACATGTATGCTTACTCTAGACATTGTAACAAATAGCAGGAGGCTGCTCATGAGACATGCCATATGAATTACCTCCCCATTTTGCTGGATCCAACCGAAAAGCTTCCAAAGCACGCTTCTGACATAAGGATTCTGCCATGTCAATGAACCTGAGAATATGAACAGTTGACTATGTAAACACTCTGCTTTCAGTCACATAGTTTTGTATCTTGAGCAAAGGCAACAATCGGGAAGCTTTCACATACTCATTTCCTCCATAGTATCTAGCACCAGGATATCCTTCGCTGTATTTGTTGGTCATGACTGACCCAACTGCTTGCATGACAGAGACCGATGTGAAGTTCTCCGAGGGGATCAGCTCTAAACCCTTCAGAAATACAATAAAGAATTCCAAAAAGAAATGAAGTTAAAGCACATGCCAATACTTGCTATGTATACTAAAGAACCAGTTACCATCATTAAACTTCTCACCAAGTAATCACGGAAAAATGAAAGAGAAAATGTTTTAGCTGGGTTTAGTTCTCGACATACTAATAAGAGAGAGCATTTTTCACAATAATAAACATTACTCAATGACAAATAAGCCTAAACACTATTCATAATAAAGTCTTGAGTGGATTATAGAACGAGATTATACCTTCCATTGCCTGGTTTTCTCGTGCTCAATGATATCCGCGATTTCAGGATCTACAGCCTCCAGTGGAGCATTCAATTGCTTAGGCCACTGCAAGATTTTCACAGTTTCACTATTCATAAGCAAAACACAGGAACAAACAAAAACACAAACCAATATAGGAGCTTACACTGACACCAGGCTTCTCATAGACAGCTTCATTAGGCAGAGATGACTGCATAGTGAAAACAGACAAATGGGTAAGTGGTGAAGTTATCAGATATTCAAAAAAGTTCGAATCCTCATATCCTCATGCCTGTAGTTTAGATTAGATTTATTAGAATATTGCTCGAATAAAAAAATAGAAAAGAACCCAACAAAAGAAAGGGATAGTAGAAAAACCATGTAATAGTGAGAGGTGGCATTGAAGAGGGGACGAATGGACTTATCCCCAGAAGCCGAAAGCCTGCGAAGCGCCAATGCCATCGCCATGGTTGGTTAGTTTTCCTCACCCTTTGGCTTCTGCGTTCAGTTGGGTGGTGAGGTTTTGTCTAAAAGCTTAACAGTTGAGGTTTCATTGTCAACTGTAAAAAACAAAAACTGGATTTTTGTATACTTGTAACACAGTTATGTGGGAAAAATAGTTAGGAGACAACCATCCATGAGAGGCCTATCCGAACTTATCATTTCTCAGCCACAAAGGGGCTCTCAGCAGGATAGAGCCTGATCGGGTTTTTTGTGTGTTTTGTGAGATATATTTGGCCACCCAAGCTTTTTGAATGAATCTTGCAGGAGAGAGGACTTCACCAACTCAAGTGTCATTTTCCTAGAGCTGTTGGAGGTAAATCTACCAATATACCAAAGTTTCATTTTATATTTTTTATTGTAGAGCTAATTACAATGACCTATTACCAAAAATTTACAATGAACTATTTGTCAATTTGCCCCAAACTTGTATAAAATTGGCAATTTATCCGAACTTTAATTTTCGCCGATTACTGTCCTGAATTTTTGTAAATAGTCAATTTCTCATGTCATTAAATTTTGAAAATTTTTAAATCTAACCTCAATTACAAAATACATCCCAATGTTTAGGTACTTTTAGCAAAGGACCCCCTTTTAGCAATGATTATTTGAAAACTGCAAGGATTAAAAAACAGTGATCTTTCAGGTAACGCAGGTTGTGTTTTTGTCCCTCTGTTTCGTCTTTATTTATTTATTTTATTTTATGTTTTTTTGTAATAATATTGCATATTACATTGTAGAGTCTATTCTTATATATAATTTGCCTAAGTTGGGATCAGAATTTCTTTATGGCTAATGGAGGTAGTGATAAATGAATAACCCCCATTAGTCATAAAAAATACAGGCTCCATTTGTGCCAATTATATGTAGAAATAAATTATACATAACATATTATAATTTTTTTAAGTAAGCCAAGAAGACCATATATTTATACCATATTAGCGTATCATTTTATATGACAAGTGATGCATCTGATTAGATAAAGTATTAATTGACGTGATTTGTATGCATTACTTACCACATCAAATGATACACCAATGTGGTCTCTTGAGCACTTTCCAATTTAATTAGTTCTCGTCATAAAAACTTGTCTTCACATATTGGTAATTGTGAATAAGCCTACAAATAAAAATTTTAAGATGCAATAAAATATTCTCTTGAAAGCAAGAGATTTGATGTTTTTTTTTATTTTCGTTTTAATTCACCTCTTAAAAATGGACATAACGTGTGCCTAGGTTGTGCATGATCCATATTTATAACATACACACACCATATTGGCATGATAATGACACTACAACATCCATATATAATCAATAGGATAGAGATACGTTATTAATACACTATCAATAGCAGATGGCAAGGAGGCTTTAGCAGAAGGTCGAGAAAGCCAACTGTTATGTTAGAGGTGGTTACCTCATATGACACATGGATCTGGCATGCTTTCTTTGAAGTCCCTGGATACCAAAATGACATTACAGTTCTTGGGCGTTCACCCTTCTTCAATAACTTGACAGAAGGTAAAGCACCTTAACTTGACTACTACATCAACAACCGTCAATACAATATGGGGTATTACTTGGCAGATGACATTTACCCAAAGTGGGTGGCACTTGTCCAAGCAATTCCAAACCCTAGGAATGACGCAGAAAAGTTGTTTACCTTACGCCAAGAGGCATACCGGAAAAATGTTGAGAAAGCTTTCGGTATTCTACAATCACGGTGGAAGATCATTAATGAACCGGCAATAGGGTGGAGTCGAAAAAATTTGGACTCCATCATGATGTCTTACATCATATTACACAATATAATAGTGGAGGATGAGTGAGATGGGTATATTGATGGAAAGTCCGATGACAACCAAGAAGATCCAAATAGGTCAAGAAGGGCTCGTGCAAAAATATATGATGGTCCTAATTTGCCTTTCAATCCAAGAACTGGTAGTATCTCTATAAATGAGTACATGAGGCGCTATAGAATGATACGTTCTCGTGCCACAAACAAGTACCTACAACAGGATCTTGTTGCACATCTTTGGGCCAAAAGAAGTAAGGAGTAGGCGTTTAAGTTTTATGTTGTTAAATGTTTTTTAAAATGTTGTTTAAATTTCATGTTGTTAAATGTTTTTATTTATGTTGTATAATTTGTATGTTGGTTAATGTTATTTAATGTTGTTTCATATTGCATAATGTTGTTTCATGTTACTTAATTTAATTTAATGTTGTATAATGACTAAGGAAGTTATAGGAAAAAAATATAATTTAAAAAAAATATGAAAGAAATTTTATGAAATAGAAGTTACAGTATAAAAATAGAATTTAAAATAAAACAAAATAAATTTTGTGAAATAGAAGTTATAGAAAAAAATGGAATTTAAAAAAAAATATGAAACAATTTTTGTAAAATAAAAGTTATAGGAAAAAAAATATAATTTAAAAAAAATAGAATTTAAAAAAATATATGAAAAATAAAAGTTATAGGAAAAATTTTGTAAATAAAAAATAATAATAAAATTGTAAAAAAAAAGAAAAATCAAATACAACGTCTAGTTGACGACAATAATACATTTATATTAAATAATATAAACGTATTCATATCGGTTATAATCAACAAAAGAACTAATTTTTCTGGCTAGCCCTCCAACCCTCTCTGATTCCACAGCCCTCTGGCCTAGCCCTCGATTAGAGACGATTTTTGGACTATTTTCGACCATTTGGACCCTTCAGTTAGAGATGGTCTAAAGTGAGTGACCTTTTTTTTTTACATTTTATATTGGGAGGATTATGATGACGTGGGCTTGGGCTTGCGTTTGGCCCTTTGACCAAAATAAGAGAACAAAGGGTAAAAATAAACGCTAGAAGGAGGGTTCGAACCTCCGACCTTGTGGTTAACAGCCACACGCTCTAACCAGCTGAGCTATTCCAGCTTGCCCTTATAGAATCCCATTTTATTATATGTACAAAAAAATAGCTAAGTACATTAAAACCAAACCTCAAGTTTTAAGAATAAAAAGAGAATCCAAAGGAGGGGTGTTGAGCAAAAATTGTACACAATATGTAAACCAAAAATTCACTCGACACAATTTTCACCGTCGTTCATTTTTCGAAGAGGGTTTTATTAAATTGAGTTCAACCCATTCTAGGCTACACGCCTATTAATTACAACCATTCTTTTGGGAAAGGAATAATACCCTTTGATTCTAATTTGAATAAATTGTAATTTGGGGATTTAGGTGTTTATTTAATTTTACGACTGTACCTAGGTCGAGCCCTAGATTGCCTACGTATCCTCGTTGAGGGATCAAGTCACTCGTAGTTCATGATATTTGGTATTTGTTTGGACTTGATACCTTGTGCAGTTTTAGCTCATGCAAGTAAGGAGCATTTGATGCCTTGTACAGTTTTAGCTCATGTGGGCGAGGACTTTGAGCCATTGGAGCACGAGGTGGCTTCGTGCCATTTGAATTATGTTGCGGCTTCATGCCGTTTAATATTTGATATGGCCTCATGCCATTTGAGATTTTTCTTCGGCTTCGTGCCTTTTGAGATTTGATAAGGCTTCGTGCCATTCGAAGCGTATTTATGCCATTTGTAATTTGAATTGGCTTTATGTCATTTGAAGTTTGATGTGGCTTTGTGCCCTTGGAGCAGCTCTATTTTTATTCACGGAGTCCAAAAATATTGAGCTCACGTGAATACAAAATTGTTGTTTTACTTCAATCTCATATGGAGCAACATTCCCTTAAAAATTAGGAACTTTGTTGCATGAGCAACATCCATTAATTGTGTGCTTGAAGGCTTTTCTTTTACTCTTTGTAGAAACTGTAATTATTTGATTAAAGTAGCAGGAGTGAATTTAGTTTATATAAACCAGGGATTTGTTTTGGTTTCACGGTTGCCTCTAAAACTTGATATCAGACTGTCTACGTATCCTTAACAGAATCAAATCCACGTAGTTCGTAGATATGCTTGATTTGGATTTGCCTACTTGTGTTCAGACTTGGCAAAATGAGTAGCCAATTGGATTTATTTAAAACCCATATATGACATTTGATAATATCTAATAGGCCTTTGTGAAATAGGACTTTGGTTTTTCCTTAAGTAGAAACCGTGTGAGATGCACAGTTCAAAGTGAAATAGGATTTTGTCTTTTCATTAAGTAGAAAGTGGGACTCCAAGTCCCACGTGAGATGCACAGTTCAAAAAAAAAAAAAAAAAAGAAAGAAAAAAAAAAAAAGGAACAATCAGAAATTTTTCCTTCTCCAGTATTTATTCCTCCAAACAGCGATGTCGATATACTCGAGCTCCCCGTCGATTTCGCAATGTTTTTTTTTTTTTTTGAAATTCCTTTTGGGTTTATTAGCCGTTGAATTCCAAACAAAGATGGGTAAGATTGGTGGAGTTCAAACTCTTTTGAATTGCTCCAATTTATCCTCTTTTCCTCCTAAATCGCAGAGGGTTTTTTTTCTTTTTCTTTTATGCAGGTCACGAGAGCCTTTGTTTTTTTGCTGCCTTGTTCTTTTGCTCGTGTGCTTCCTTTGTCGATCTAAAACTCAAAATGAAGAGGAGGGGAGAGATCAAGTAGGTTACTCATTTTTGTTTTCTATGTTCTAGGTTTGATCTGGTAGATGACAAACCCCACTTGTTGTTGGTAACTTTTGTAGCCTAAATTCATTTAGCTTTTCGTTTATCACGAGTAGCTTTTCGGTATCACTTTGACTTGGTTTTTGACATGGTTGTTGGACCAATTATTTTGCAGCATCGTGGTCGTTGAAAACAAGCATTGATTCATGGCTCCAAAGGTGAGAATTGCACTCTAAAGTTTGCAGGACGCCCTTATTTCTTTTTGCTTCTATTTGTGTGCTGCCTTCTATGCTTAATCAGAATAGGTACCATACTTTTCCATTTGAATGTCACGTGAGTGGTTTTATAATAGCCTGTGCTCATGGTAGTTTTGTCATGCTTGCCTTTCTCATCAACATTAGTCATCCATAACATTTTGGCCTCAGTATCCTATTAGAGTAAATATAGAAATATAGAGAATAATCTGAATAATGACTTTGAGGTACGATTTGAATCATTTTCTTAAAGTGTTATTTGCCCTCACTCGAATGAGTTTGCTAAAGGGTTCTTGGCAAGTCACTTCCAGGTTACAACAAAGTATGGAACATTCGATTAGCAAAACCGAATTGTATTCCCTTAGAAATAACTAGAAAGAAATTGTATGAATGTGATGGAGAGAAAAGAGAGCAAGGAAAGTAGAAACAAATTTCTGAAAATTGTGTGTGAAACATTATATCACAATAGGTATTTATAGGCATTAAAGCACCCGTTCATTGAGTCCTTTCATTTTAGTTGAAGATATACAATCCTTCTTAATAGTGTTGACCCAAAAGACATGTTTCTATTTAGAATTTTCAGAAAATAAATTTTGATTATTTATATCTTTTAATTCTACTTATACAATTTGAGTAAGTATCATGTCTTTTAACTAAAAGCTATACCATTCAACTAATTACATTTGCTGCGCATTGGAGCACCCTTTATCATACACACATACTGCACAATGCAGCACCAGTTATTATATATATATATATATATATATATATGTATGTATGTATATATAAAATATAATTTATATATTCATTATTGAAATCTCTAACGTATCCATGAGTAAATGTAGTTTGATATTGAAGTGTTTTACACGGTATGTTTCCTCAAACATAGTTGCACCATTTTTCGAACACAGTAGCTACTTGTCCCATGCTTTAGCTTTTCTTTTTGGTAAAGTCCCGTACTTTGACTTTAGTCTATTTTTGAAATGCTTGTGCAAACACCATCCCATTATATTTTGCTGGAGCTTTACAAATAGAAAGGGAGACATCATCGCTTTTAATTTCTCCTTTTTCTTGGACTCTTATCCCAAGTGAGTTTTCATAGGATTTTATGCAAAGGCCTTCTCCTCGTCTTGTACTCGTTAGTAGCAAAGAAAACATCAAAGAATCACAAACAGAACAATTTCTTTCCTTTTGAGTTGCATTTTGTCATATGTTGATCCCTTCTTGTTTTTCTTCACAGAGACCAAGCATGAGTCGGTCAAGGGGAACAAAAGTTGCATTGGCTTCTTTTCCCTTTTATTTGTCCACAAATGCATCTATTTTCTCATTGGACCGCAAAGAATGACTTTACATATAAGACTTAACTTTCTATATCTGCTTCCTTGGCTTGCCGTGACACCGATTGCTCCTTTCCTTCTTGGCATGGACTGCAAGTATGCGTTACTTAGACTTGATTGGAACTTCACGGGATAGTCTAGGCCACCCCAAAGAAATTCATGAGAATGACGGTAGTGGCGAGGAGCGGAACTCTTGTGTACTTTTGTTCTCTTCAGATTTAGGAGGCTACTTTTTTTTTTTTTTCTGACTGCTTTGTGTTGTTGTTGTTGCAGGTATAGAAGAGTAGTCGGGCTACCATTTAAGAAACCCTCCGTGCACAGAAACCTTTTATGGTGGCTTGTTGGCAATTCTCTTGTATAAACTGAAGATTACAGGTTCTAGGTAGTTGATTATGCCCCATTTTTTTCACTTTTGTCTGCAACAAAATATTAAACAAGAGAGATAAATAAATTAACAAAACTTGTTTCATACCTGGTGATGAATGTTCTTCTTTGGATCTTGATTCAAAAGCACGAATGGTTGAACTCCTTGTTCACTTTTCTGGAAGCACTTTTCTTTTCTTTTTTCTTTTTATTTTATTTATGGATGTTGATCAGTATGTAAAGCCCATCTTCATTTTTGTTTGGGTTGGATTACATCTTTTGTTTTGTCTTGTAGTTTGACCCAATTTGTATTGACTCTATTTTTTTATATATATTATATATTTTTGTTGTTCAACCGGAGGTGGAATAGCCCAGCACCCAGTCAAAAAACCAGGCTGTCACTCTGTCAATTCACTCCAGCCCAGGAACTTGCCTGGCACCCAGCCCAAGTTGGTCTCTGGGCCAGCCCAAAATTGACTAATCAAGGAGCCGGGCTATTTGCCTGGTGTGTGCAGCTCCTTCGCGAGTGGGTGCGAGTAGGGGACAAGGGTGCAGGCGGTGGGGCCTGCTGTCAGCCCACTTGTGCTTCACCCGAAAGGAGGCGACGTGGCCCTCTCAATGTCGTTGGATTTCCAACAGTTAGTTTTTGTAGACCGTTGGATTTCCAACGGTAAAAAAAATTTAATTTAACTTTTAAAATGGACCGTCTAATCATAAATCAACGATCCATGTTTTTTTCATCAAAACTAAAAATAAAATAAATAAAAAAAGGCCCAACGGTCAGAATTATGATTGTTGGCCACATGGCAGCGCCTTGGCTCTTGGATTTGAATATTTTTCAAATCCAACGGTCCAGATTAATTAACTATATTAAAATTTATTAAAAATTATGAAAAAATACAGAAAAATTATTAAAAAATACAGAATTTTTTTTAAAAAGTTATTTTTTTTTCCTATAAATGCCTAACCCTCATCTTCCACCGTACACCACATTTCAATATTTTCTACACTTTCTACCAAAGCTTTCATATACTTTTTGTGTGAAAAAAAAAATACCAAAAAGCTCATCCTTTATTTTTTATGTCCATATAAACCATACATCCCTACATCCATCTTCATCGTTTTCAAATCTTGAGTTTTTTGTACAATGTCTTCTTCAAGGAGAGTGCATCAACAATTTGAGGAGCAATAGAAAAGATTGTTGGCACAACAAGAAGAATTGATCAATCTCGAGGAAGGTGGAGGTGGAGATGAGGCTTTCGCAATGGAGGAAGACTCGGATGATGACCATAGAAGGCAGATGGCCTCACATTCCCGCCGTGTCATGGAAGCTGTGGGTTAGATAGCCAAACCCAGACATGCCGCAAACTTCGATAGAAAAAGGGAAAGACGAGGTAAAGATCTCTTGGAAGATTATTTTATTCCCAACAGCGTATTCTCTAATCATGTTTTTAAACGTCGTTTTAGAATGAAACGAAGTTTGTTCAACAAAATCATGAGTGTTATTTGCAACCATTATCCATATTTTGTGCAAAAAGATGATGTTTTTCGTGTTCTAGGTCTTCTTCCAGAGAAAAAAATTACAGTTGCCTTTCGAATGCTTGCATATGGAGCATCTGCAGATTAAGTGGATGAGATCGCGAGGATGGGAAAAACAACTGTTTTGGAGTCCCTAATGCAGTTTTGCTCTGCAATTGAAGCCTTGTACACCAATGAGTACCTCTGGACACCCACGCCAAGGGACATGCGAAGGCTTCTGAGGAAGGGTGAGATGCTAGCATGATTGGAAGCATCGATTGCATGCACTGGACTTGGAAAAATTGTCCAAGTGCGTGGCAAGGAGCTTATGGCGACAAAAAAGGAGTCAAAAGTATCATTTTGGAAGTTGTGGCTTCATTTGATACATGGATTTGACATGCTTTTTTTTGGTGTTCCAGGAGCTTAGAATGACCTAAATGTCCTTGCTCAATCTCAAGTGTTTGACGATCTGCTGCAAGGAAAATCGTCGAGATGCACATATTGGGTTAATGGCACTAAATATGATGGAGAATACTACCTTGCATACGGCATTTACCCAAGGTGGTCTATGTTTGTCAAAACAGTGCCATACTAAAAAAGAAAAATACTTTGCAAAATGTCAAGAGGGGTGTAGGAAGGATGTGGAGCATTGTTTTGGTATCCTGCAAGCTCGTTAGGCGATTGTTAGGTCTGCTGCTAGAATGTTTGACGTTGAGGCTTTTCGATCCATCATGATGACGTGTATTATTTTCCACAACATGATTATGGAAAATGAGTATAATTATGATGTCGTCGATGAATATGAGCTGGATCCGATGAACAACTCAAGAACACGTATCTACTGTTCTCATGACCGGACCAAAAATCCCGTGCAACATGAACCGTTGGAACATGATGGACGTTACAATGAATTGATCGTTTAGCGGTACACTGATGTGGAAGAGCCATACTGGCACGTAACCAGCCAGAATGACTTGATTGAGCACCAGTGGGGATTGCAAGAAGGTGAAGATTATTAAAATAAGCTTGTGGTTGAAGAATAAAGTGTATTTGATGAGTTTATGTAATTTTATTTTAGTGTGTTTTTTTTTTAAAGTTTATTTGATGAGTATGTAATTTCATTTTAGTGTGTTTTTTTTTTTTAAGTTTATTTGAAATTTTATCTGAAATTGGTTAAAATCTTATTCGAAAATAAAACTATTTTTTTTATTTATTCTTTTAAAAAAAATATAAAATACTTTAAATGGGCAGGGTGCCAGCACATTTTGTAGGGGTGGAGATCGTTTGTGCCAGCGCATTTTTTTGGGGGTGGAGATGCTTTAGCCTATTACTGTTCACTGGGGTCTATTACTGTTCACCTGAGTGGATAAATGCGCTAGGTGCTGGCGGAAAATCTTTAGGGGTGGAACTGCTCTAAAGATGGGACTTTTTAACGATGAAAACATTCAGAGTATCAAATTCTTCAGAGCACAGAAAAAAGAGTGTGGCTGGTGGGATCGCCGTGTGGTTGTACCAAAATCAGGTGCTTTAATCGAGTAGCCAATTTGTTATCTCTTTTATCTTGGATTTTTTATATCTTTTTAATCTCGTTCATCAACCAAATATCCTATCTATCAATCGTATTCCGTGCGACTAACTTTCGTTACGTATTGTTTATATTTAATTTTAAATAAAAAAATTCAAAATGATTTTTGACCGCATGATGTACGATGAACAAATATGATGTGAGGATCCGGATGGGATCCAAATTCATGTTCTTTTATTTCCTTCTAAACTTCCAGTAGTCAAAATTGCTCTCTTTGTTCTCATTGTGCGGGGGAATACCCTGGATTCATCCAAAAAATTGCTCTTATTGTTGAAGAGGTTGAAAGCTTTCATGGTGCATCCCATTCTAGATTAAGGATTTGGTCACTGAAATAAAAAATGTACTCAGTTTGCCACTCTTTTTGTAATCGTGTTGCAATCATTTTTCTTATCAGTCAGTTATCACTACTCGCTTCAGTTAAAAAAAATTCTTAAAAAAGAAATAAAATGTGTCGAGTTTTATTGCTATGATAAGTCAAGTTATTCTTTTTCATAAATCCTTGAATAAGGATCGCTTCTTTCCTCAATGCTCTGATGAATCTTTATTGTTGTTAATAATCCTCAACTTCTGGCGAGTGATTGACTGACAATTAAAATTTTGATTACACTGACACCCCATCAATTTTTAAATTGATTTCACATCACCCTTTTCTCAATTTCACACCAATTGAAGTCACACCGGTTTAGATGGGATTTTCAATAACTGTTTGATATCTTATTTTTACAATCTTAGGTATTCATTTTCCACAACACTCAGTGCTACAATGATTTAATGGAAGGGAACTTTAACGAAAAACTTTCAGTACTGTTAATTTTAATGAAAAACCACAATTTTATACTAAAAAAATCAATCCTGGTACTATTCATTTTACCTTTTATTTTATCTTTATCATTAAAACTCAAAGTTTTCAAGTTTTTTTCATTAGTTTTCTTTTAAAGAAGGGTACTACTTTTATGTATGATTACTTTCCATCAATCATTAGTTGATGGATTCAATTGATGCACTTCGAGGAACTCGCACTGCCCATATGCAAAATTATAGTAAAGGGCTTCACAGACAATTTCAAACAATTTTAATTTCTCGTACAACCAAGGGTTTTGAATACAAAAGAACGTGTTTATCAAGTTCCCCTTTCTCTCTAACAGCCGTTGCATACAATCGATATCGAGATCGATGATAACTACTAAGATAAGTGTATACAATTATTTTTTGTTTTTTTTAGAAGTTTTAGTAAGAATTTCGATTTAGGATTTTTCTGGACTCTCAACTCCAACGGTGAAACAAAGTCGCATGCTCAAGTTCTTTTTAGGGATTGAAAATAAAATAGGTATATAATGGTAAAAGTAGAACCACAATTGGAAATTATATCGCTTAATAAATTTATAAGTTTAAGACTTCAAGACATGAAATACATAGATGGTGAAGATGGGTTTACGCTACTGCTCAAGGACAAATGAGGATATAAATTGGCAAGCAAACATTACAAAACCAGAAATGGCCCTGTCAAAAATTCAAATATTTCAACATCACCGAATCTAACTTTACCTGGACTTGCATTACAAGTAATCCCAAAAGGGTACTGGGTGGGTTCTCCAAATATTGTTGCTTACGAAATGAAACCTCTAGAGTTTCAAGCAAAGTTTCGATTAAAATAAGGACATTTGTTGTGTCTTTTTACATAGCAAACTCATAATGCGTAAAAAATAAATGGTTCCACGAGTGATGAAACAAGCTTAGAAGGAAAATTGTAACTTGAATAATTTCAATATCTCTAATCTCTAATATTAGAAAGCCAGCAATCAATTTTGGTGTCCAAGGCTTCACCATAAATATTTAGACAAAAAAACTCCTAAAACATATAAAAAAAAAAAAAAATTTACAAGTGACAAAAAATAATGCAACCAAAATAGCAAGGATACTTTTGTCATCTTGAATTTATAATATTAGAAAACTAGTTATCAACTTTAGTGTCCCAAGACTTCACCAATAAAATTTAGACAACAAAAAAAGCCCCTAAAACAAAAAAATTTATAACTGACTAAAAATAATGCAACCAAAATGGCAAGGACAGTTCTACCACCAATAAAAAAAAAAGAAAAAAAAAAGAAAAAAAGCAGGGATACTTTTGTCATCCAAATTATTGAAAAAGCCAAAAAACACCACGCTAACAGGAAAAATGAAAAACAATAATAATAACGTGGGAGAAGAAAAAGTTACCACGGTCAACACGTTCAGTTTTCAAACTGCATATAAGTTCCTTCAATTTTTAGACTCCCACCTTCGGTTACTGAAAACGATCACTACTTCTCCTCTCTTGCTCTGAGTCAGCCATCGCTGCTGGTTCCAAACCGCCGCCACCACGTGCCGAAAGGAAGGAGGAGATACGTCTTCCAATAAAAAAAGAGTTACGTCGACGTCCATCAACATTCTAACTTGGAGCGTACTCAATCGCCAAGCTACATAATCAGTCTTAATTGAATGCAAACTTTTCTTATTTTTCATGGGTATTCAATGAAACATAATCTGCTGTTTTCGTAACTCTTTTTGATTTCGAAGTTTACTGCTTGATTAAATATTTGTACTAAATTCTTTGTAATGTTGTTGAGATTGGGTAAATTTGGGGTTCATGACTGGGTCCGTGGTTGAAGCTCCGAGAAATTAGCTCAATCAGATATGCAAATGGTTGCGCCTCTGATTGTTTGCTTTCTTTTGGGTGCATGTGATTCCCATAGGGTTAGAAAGTAAGGTAATTTAGGCTATGCGATTTTCTCTCTAAGAGGGAGAGACTTTCTCTCTGAGAGTGATAGTCTTTTCTCTTTGTGTCTGAGAGTAGCAATAAAACTAAAGATTTCCCTTTAGCCGCTGACCCTAATTCCGTTTAAGGTCAGTGGCAACCCTTCGTTTTTCTTCTTTGCTTCCTCTTTCTTCTATTTCTGATGTTTTTCCCTGCTCTCCTTCCTATTTTGCCTTGCCTTTCCACCCCGATTATCACAAATCTTTCCTGCTGCCGAATCATCCATCCATCCATATACATGTCCTTAATTTGGCTTCCGTCGATTCCATCTTTGTTTCGATCTGCAATCAATTTTAACTGCGAACTGATACAGTTTTCAACTGAAAGTGCGTAGAGTTTCGGTGTTCACACCGGCTTGGGTGGCAACATCACCTCATTCTCTCTATCTGCCTTTTTTGGCAGTGTTGCTTGTGGTAATCCCACGGGCTTCTTTGATTTCCCTTAATCAGTGGCTGCGATCAGTGAGATGTTATCTGTTGGAAGATGAAATTCATCTTCTTTCCATCTCTAAGGTGTGAGTTCCTAGTGATAGTTGGTGGTAGAGGTTGAGATCGTTGTGGAGTGTTGTTCTAGTGCTTTCGGCGGTGTCGTTGGAAGGAAGCAGTTAGGGTTAGCTTATGTGTTTTTTTGTTTTGGGTTGCTATTAAGGTCCTTTCTTTTGCTTGTGTGGTTATTGTTTGTGCGACTCTAATTGTGTATTTTGTTGTGTTGTGTAAAGTAACCTTAGGTCACTCGATATTACGGTTTGGTGGTATTCCTCTTTACTTGGAAGTGAGAGGTCTTAGGTTTGAATCTCATGGATGACAAATTTGATACGAAATTAGGCTGCCCATTATGTGGCTTAGCCGATCTCCCCCTCCCCTTAGTGTAAAAATATAGATGTGCTCAAAAAATAAAATAATCTTTGACAAAAAAAAAAAAAAAAAAAAAAAAAGAGTAGGGTAATTTAATATTTTAAACATTTTCCTTTTTTTTGTCGGTAATCAATATTTTTTTTTGAATTTCAACTGTTTTGGTGTATACTAAGGGTTGGTTTGGTATTGCTGTGCTTTAAAAAAAAGCTGTTGTGAGAATAAACGGCTGTGTTGTGAGAATAAGCGGCTGTGAAATAAAGCAGCAAAGTGTTTGGTAAACTTTTTTGTAAAAGTGCTTTTGGAAAAAAAAAGCAGTATGATAGTGTTTGGTAAACTTTTTTGTAAAACAGCTGTGCCTGTGTGAAATGACCAAAAAGGGTATATTACTAGATGTGCTATTAATTTAATTTTCTTAACAAATAAAAGTGAATTACTAAATATATTTTATTTTTAGAAGAAAAATATTTATAAACTTTATCTTAAATATTAATTAGTTTGACAAACTACTTTAATAGAAATATTTTAGAGTGAATAGCTAGAATTCATTAGTACAATATTGTTAATGTACTTGAAAGTAGTCTAATTAGATGCATTCATCAAACTTGTTGCTATTCTATTTCTTAATGCCTCTATCTCATGTGATCCTTCAACTTGATAATTTTGATATTCATCATCATCATCATCATTACTATCGCTTTCTTCGCAAAAGTCCCTGGGGTCATCAAAATGACGATCACGTTCAGAATACCTCCGTATGTAGTTATGAAGAGCCATTGTAGCAATGACAATCTTCACTTGCTTATTGAACGGGTAATTAGGCATATCCCTTAAAATTGCCCATCTTTTCTTCCATACCCCAAAAGTTCGTTCAATGATGCTCCTAAGAGAAGAATGCATGTGGTTGAATACCTCTGTGTAACGCCTCCATACGCGCATCTAAATATATACGTATATGCAGCAGAGGAGCTTTCTGGTTGTTTTAATATGTAAAATTACAAGAATTCAGAAAGCCACAACAAAGAGTTTATAACTATGCAATTGTGTGATCCAAATCAAGAACCAGAGATCGTTCATAACGCCTGAACCACGAACAATCCCAATGCCAATACTCGAAGAGCTAAAACTGTGTTACATTATTCATTCTCAATGGGAATCAAGGACGGAACTTAAGTAAACAACATCAAAATGGTATCAAGTGCAGAAATCGAAAAATTCAAGCGTTCCTCCCATGATTAAAATTTATACAGCCCAGCAAACAGGCATTGTCACCAGCAATAAACAGGAGAGAATACAAGAAAAAAGACTTCAATTCAAATCTGGAATCCAGAGTACCTAGAAGCATATGCCGATGGATGGTTTACTCCTTTGCTTCTGAACCAATAGAGGTGACTTTAGCCTCATCCAACTTTGGTTGGTTTGTAGTAAGTCCTTCCAGCGTTTTGTAAAACTCCTCAGGAAGAGGACCAGGTCGGTGCAGAGGAACATGTTTGGGAACTGGAGCATCGTTCTCGATCACCTCACATTCGTAATCATCAGGAACACCCCATAGATCCCACTCTGCAATGCAAGTCAATACAGAACGCAAACTATTACAAACAATCCATTGTATATTGTATCTCAAAATGTCAGCTCAAAAAAGAACTTCATACATAGGCAACAGAAAGGCATCAGTTTGATCATCAGAATGATAAAACTCTGAGACGGAAGAACCAAAAAATCAGCATTAACTGAAGCATGCAAGTACACAATGGCTAGTAAAAACCATAGTTCACAGTTCACACAAACAAAGATTCCTACTTTGGACATTGAACGAGAGTTTGAAATGCTTCAAAGTGAAGAAAACAGATTTGCTTATTATATGTTCCACTTGAACTTGGATTCAATTGTGTCCATTAACCGCAACCACCACCCGCCCCCTGCCACCCTTTTTTTTCTTCTTTAACCACCTCATATGATATGCATTACCAGCATTCTGGGGCAATCATAGTTTCTTCGGAACTGATAAAATCAAGTACCCACCTTTCGTTTCATGACGTAGTAAACAAAAAACCCGACTGCTAAAAAATTTATGAACTTCACTCACTTTTCCCCTAATTTCCACTACTAGAAATGAACAACTTATTAAGTTACCATCACAAAACAAAACTACACAGCCAATTCGATTACTTTTCAATTTCTCATCAACCAAACTAAGAAAAAATGTCGAAATCACAAACAAGCACTCAATTTCCCAAAATAAAACCACATTTCTGAGCTAAATTCCAATTTTCATGGCCAATGTCAATCCCAAAACACAAATAACCATTTTCAATTTCATTTCTTTCAAAAATGAGAAAAAACTAAATAAATCAATTACCAAAACCAGCAATAAAAATAACATATTATACTGACCGATCATCTTGCCGATGAGAGTGAGCTCGTCGCGCGCCTCCTCGATGAGCTCCTCGACCTGGCCGCAGCCGAGCTTCCTCCACAAACCCTAATTTTTTCCCCCAATTAATTTTTTCCCAATTAATTTTTTCCACAAACCATATCACCTTCCCCAATTAATTTTTCCCCACCCTTCATCCCCAATTGTTTTTCCCGACACCCATACCCTCATCCCTTTGCTCTTCCCACCCCTCTTTCCCTAATCTCCCCATCCCTAATTTGAAAAATCCAAACAAATAAATGAGAAGCTTACCTGGAGAAACCTGGTAAACGAGAGAACGAGTTCGCTAGTTTTTGGAACAAGAGAACGAGAGAACGAGAGAGATCGCAGAGGTTCGGGTTATGCGAGAGAGCTCTGAAAGGTGAAGAGCGTGCGAGAGAGCTCTGGAAAGGTGCGAACGTAGGTGAAGGGAAAGGAGGGCAGTTTTGGGTTATTCATATTTCATTAAACGTGTACACTGTTCACCCGTGTGTGGGTGAAAATAAGTTGCTTTTGGAAGCTGCTATTTGCAGCTTCTTGTCATTTCCTGGTTTTGGGCTTTTTTTTCACCCTCAACTTTGAAACAAAGCTGCTTTTCAAAGTTTACCAAACACCAAAAATTTTCATAACTTTTTTTCATAGTAGCTTTTTTTTTAATCACCTCAATCCCAAACAGGCCCTAAGTCGATTCACAGGCATTTGATTGCTTCGGAACGGAAGAAAGTAAAGGTGTGAGTAACCCTTTTCAGATCAAGTTCTAAATTTTAATTTAGAAATCCTAATTGTCTATAGAAATTTCGCTTTGTTGAAATGAGTGTTTTGAGTAGATGTTTCCTAATTTTAATAGGGGAGTTAATCCTATTCTTTAAGGGACTAAATTGCCTGCACATTACTTCCTTCAATATAAACCCTAGAACCCTTCAATCTTTTCCTACGTTTTCTCACCAAAAAAGCAGATTCAAAAACCTTTTTTTGAGAGCTATGGATTCAGGTATGTATGTTTCTTTTCTCTCTCTTCTTCAAACCAGTAGAAAATGTTAAAGTTAATCCTTTGCTTATGCTTTTTGCTGTCTAATTTTGATGTCCTTTTATGTAATTTGAAATGCTTTGGATCTGATCTATTGTCACATGTATGGCTTAGATCTTTTGTAAAGGGCTACCCAATTGCCTTAGCAGCTGTCCCATGTACTGGGACATTTAATCCCAATCAGAAAAATATCTCTTTGTGAAAAAAATAGCTCTCTGCTATCTGTTTTCATTTGCCCTGCTGTTGCCTCTTACTCAAATCTCCATCTTTCTCTCATTTTTATTCTAGTTTTATTAATGATGAAGATGGTCTGAATACCAACATGGTATTAGAGCCAATCTGATCAAAAAGTGGGGTGTTATTTTATTCTCAAAAGGGGGAAAATTCTAAGTGAAACCTTAGAATCAAAATTTTCAAATTCATGGCTGGTTTAAGTAGCTGTGGATAGATTCAAACTCCTATCTTTAGTGGAGTGAATTATGACTTCTGGAGGACAAAGTTGAGAACAATTTTTGTATCTCATGATTTGTGGAGCTTGGTTGAAGATGGCTATGTGGTACCCCTAAGTACTGTGGCTTTGACAAAGGCTCAGACAAAGGAACTGAAGGAAAACATCAAGAGAGATGCAAAAGCTTTTGGGGTCATCCAAAATGCTATCTCAGATGAAATTTTTTCGAGAATCTTGAATGAGACAAGTGCCAAATCAGCTTGGGATGTGCTGGAGAAAGTCTATAGAAGCTCTACTAAGGTAAGGGCTGTCAAACTCCAATATTTGAGAAGACATTTTGAGTACATAGAAGAGATTTTAACTATATAAGAATTAAATATGATGAATAGTTAAGTGATTACTTGAGTACATTGTTTGAAATTATTAATCAAATGAAAAGCTATGGTGAAATCTTGTTCGATGAGAGAATAGTTCAGGAGTATCTAATTAGCTTGCCATAAAAGTATGACGACATAGTTTCAATCATAGAGGAGACTAAGGATTTGTCAACTTTGAGTGTTGAAGAATTGATTGGTTCAATCAAAGGTTTTGCTAAGAGACTATTCAGGCATGCCAAAAATGATGTAGAAAATGCTTTCCAAACGCTTACAGTGAATCCAAAAACTAAAGCTAGTTCAAGTCAAAGCAAAGCAAGTCCAAGAAGAATTGGAAAGGCAAAAACAAAAAGTGGGAAGGAAAGGGTAATTTTGAAGAGAAGAAAAAGGTTGAGAAGAGTTTGTTTGATTCGAAGTGCAAAATTTGTGACAAAGCTCATTACGGTGAATGTTGGTTCAAGGAAAAAGTGAAATACCACAAGTGTAGCAGATTCGGGCATATGCAAAAGGATTGTACCTACAAGGATAATCAGCTAGCTCACTACACCGAAGTAGAAGGTGAAGAGACCAATATGTTTTATGTTGGTCATGATAAAACTGTCCAAGAAGAAGCTAAAGTTTGGTTTGTGGACAGTGGCTATAGTAATCATATGATGGCGAACAAGAACATTTTCCATAATATTGACACTACAGACCCAACCCGAGTGAAGATGGGAAACGAGCAGCTAGTTGATACATTGGGAAGAGGTACTATTGCTATGCATACGAAGAATGGAAAGATGTTCATTAAGGATGTCATGTTAGTTCCTGATTTGAAGCAAAATGTGCTAAGTCTTGGATAACTCATTGAGCATGGCTATTACTTGTATTTTGGAGACAATACTTGCTAGGTATATGACGGGAGGAATCGTGAACGACTCTTGGCTAAGATTAAGATGAGGAACAGTAGAAACTTTCCTCTCACAATTGAGTATGCAACTCAGTCTGCATTCAAGATGGAAGTACAAGAAGATTCAAAGCTATGGCATAAAAGGCTTGGCCACTTGAATTTTCAAAGTCTCAAGAAGTTACAAGAAGAAGAAATGGTGCATGGGTTGCTGAGTATCTAAGAAAATGAAGAAATCTGTGAAGGTCAGAGAGCAAAAGCACCATTGGAATTGATTCATACAAATGTTTGCGGACCCATGAAGACTTCTACACTAATGGGAAACATGTATTTCCTAATCTTCATGGATGATTATTCCATAATGACTTGGGTATACTTTCTAAGACAGAAATAAGAAGTGTTCTTAATCTTCAAGAAGTTTCAACATAATTTGATAAGTTTTGTCAAGATATTGGCTTGGAAAGACAGCTCATTGTCAGCTACACTCCACAACAAAATGGAGTAGTTGAAAGAAAATACACAACCATAGTTGAAATGACTAAGGTAATGTTGCATGACAAGGGAATGCCTCAATATTTATGGGGTGAGGCAGTTAATACAGCGGTCTACTTGATAAAAAGGTATTCGACAATGATGGTTGAAGGCAAGACACCATTTGAGGCATGGAGTGGAAAACAACCTTCTGGGAATCACTTGAGAGTGTTTGGGTCAATCTACAATGCTTATGTTCCGAAAGAACTAAGACAAAAACTTGATGAGTCAAGTGAAGGGTGCATTTTCATAGGCTATGCTTCACACACAAAAGGGTATAAACTTTACAATTTTAAAAAGAAGAAAGTTGTGTTCTGTAGAGATGTTCTCTTTAGTGAGAAATCTTCTTGGGATAGGAATCAAGCAACCATCCGAGAGGAATTTGCACTAATCAGAATTGAAGAAGAAAATCAGCCAAATAAAGAGGAAATTGAGTCAGAAATTCCACAATTCTCACCTGAAAATAGTCCACAAGTTTACTCTCCCACACCCTCGAGTCCAAGTCAACGTCGGTTCGGTTAAGGAGTTTAAATGAAGGCTATGAAAGCTACAATTTGTGTTGTAGAACAGAAAAAACTTTGATGATGCAGTGAAAGAAGAGACATGGAAGGTTGCAATGTAAGAGGAGATCAATGTTATTGTGAAAAACAAGACATGGGAACTAGTGGATAGACCTTGTGACCATTCCTTCATTGGAGTGAAGTGGATTGATAAGACTAAAACTCAATCAAGATGGTTCTGTTCAAAGGAACAAAGCTATATTGGTAGCAAAGGGTTATTATCATGAAACAATCGGAGGCCTTATTTTTGTAGCTGCTTAGAAGGGGTGGCTTCTATACCAACTTGACGTCAAGTTCGCTTTCCTAAATGGAGTCATAAAAGAAGAGGTGTTCATTGATCAACCTCAAGGATTTGTTCTTAAAGGACAAGAGCACAAGGTCTATAAGCTTAAGATGTCACTTTATGGCCTGAAACAAGCTCCGAAAGCATGGTATGGAGAGATTGACTCATATTTCAATGAAAGGGGATTTCAAAGAAGTGAGAATGAACTTTCCCTCTATGTCAAAACTTAAGGAACTTCAGATATCCTTATTGTTTCTTTATATGTTGATGATTTGGTTTATACTGGAAGTAGTGATAAAATGATCTTGAATTTCAAGAATGACATGATGAGGAAATATGAGATGAGTTATCTAGGTATGCTGCATTATTTTTTGGGAATTGGTATCATTCAATCAAATGATGATATCTTTATTACTCAACAGAAATATGCAAAAAGATTTCTAGAAAATTTCAAAATGGTTGGTTGCAAGCCTGTTTCAACACTGCTAGTTGTGAATGAAAAGTTTCAAAGAGAAGATGGTAGTGGTGATGTTGATGAATCTGTGTATAGAAGCCTAGTTAGGAGTTTGTTGTATTTGACAGCGACTAGACCCGATATTATGTATGCTGCCAGCTTGTTGTCCAGATTTATGCACAAGCCTACTCGACTTTGGTATTATGTATGAAAGGAATGTTGAGCCAAAATTGTATGGGTTATGTGATAGTGATTGGGGAGGTAGTGTGGATGACTTGAAGAGCACATCTGGCTATATTTTTACACTAGGGACTGGTGTATTCTCTTGGGTGTCTAAGAAGCAGAAATTAGGTGCACTATCCGTTGTGACAACAAGTCAGCTATTTCCATGAGCAAGAATCCTATCTGTCATGGCAAAGCAAAACATATTGCTCTGAAGCATCACTACATCAGAGGTGTTGTGGAAGACAAGGAAGTGGATGTGGTATACTGCAAGACAGAAGACCAAGTTACTGATATCTTCACCAAGGCATTACCAAATGACAGATTCATCTACCTAAGAGAACTTTTGGGAGTGAAGTAGCAAAGCATTAAGAGGAAATGTTACAGTTAATTCTTTGCTTCTGTTTTTTTGCTGTCTAACTTTGATGTCCTGTTATGTACTTTGAAATGCTTTGGATCTCTAATCTATTGCCACATGTATGGCTTAGATTTTTTGTAAAGGGCTATCCAATTGCCTTAGCAGTTGTCCCATGTATTGGGACATTTAA